TAATTACAAAAATATAAAATTTTATTTATTGGATTCATCACATTAAAGACCTATTAAATAGTAGTATTTTTTACATTTTTGAAATTAATAAATAGTAAGATACATGAGTTTAAAATTTTAATTTTTTTTATAATAATTTATTATTTATTTATCTTTAAAAAATCATTAATTGATTATATTTTTTTTTGATTTTTACTTAGAAAAAATCATAAAGTTTATTTATAAAAGTATTAATTTTTTTAACAATATATTTTAAAATATTTAAAAATAATTAAAAAGAATTGTAATTAAAAATAAAATTGCCTACAAATTTGTAGGCAAAACTGTTGAAGGAATAACATTATTATTTTTTTATTTAATCAAATTGTATTATTATTTTTTAAGCAATTTTATGTAATATAATAACTTATTAATTATATTAACTATAGAATTTAAATTAATAATTTGTTAGTAATAATTTAATTATCTAAAATATAAGTATAAGATACTTTCAATTAAAATTAACATAATCTTCTATTTAAGTATTGTATTATAATTAATAATAATTTATAATATTATTTAAATATAATTGATTAACTAATTTGTTTGCTTCAGATACTTCAATAATTTCTGTTATCTAGTTTTAAATAATATCATAAAATTTTTGTATTTTTTAATCTTTTTAATAATATATAAGATAATTTATATTTATTTATTTATTTATTTTATTAATTTCTTATTTTTTTATAATATATAATTATAATTTATCTAAAGTAAAGTAAAGGATAATATATATTTATATGCTATAAAAATTTTTAGTTATGTGATTATTGTATTTTTTTATTTGCTTATGTAATTTTTAACTAATAAATTTTAATTTTAGAAAGTATCAAAATTATTTCAGACTCAACAACAGTTCTCCTTTTCTAATTATAAATAATTAATATTATTAAATTATATAAATTTTAAAATTTTAAAATAAAAATTAAATATTATAAAAATTAATGATTAAAATTATATAATAAATATTTTTATTTTAATCAAAATGAAATTAAGATTTTAAAATGATTATTAAATAATATTATTCATTTTTTTTTTGATATTTTAATTTTAAGTTAATATATAAAAACTTTAATATAACTTAAATTTAAATAATATTTAACTTGTAATTTAATTTAAATTTAATAAATATAATTGATTCATATTATAATAGATTTTAATTTAATGAATAATTTAATATAATAGATATTTATTATGATATAGATTTAACATATAAAAAATTATCTTATATTAAATTTATTAATTAAATATTATCTATATATAGTTTATATCAAAAGTAATAATGAATAATTTTTTTAATTTAAATTATTATAATAAGAAAATATTAATTCAAAAGATCAGTTGACGTAATATGATACATGTGACCAGAAGTCACATTAACTATGTTACATTAGATAATAAAGATAGTGAAAATAAAAGAAATGAATTAATAGAGATTACATAATAAATTCAAAACTCGTCAGAAATTTCTTTTATATAATTACTAATTATTTTTTATTATTAATTATTTATTATTTGTAATTAATTAGTATTATTTATTTATATTAGTGAATTTAGTATGAATAAGATAGCTTTAAGACTTGATTAAGGTAAATAATTTTAACAAGATGATTCTGAAACAATTAGAATTCAATTAGTCTTTATCACTAACAAGATAAATACTAATTACAGTTATATGCTAATAAATATAATTATATTGAATTCTTTATTTATAATAAAATTCTAAAAGTTTATTTTAAATATTATCATTTAAAATAATAATTATTTGTAAACTCTTCAGAATTTTCCTTAAAGTATTGATTAAAGTTGAATCTCTTTATTAATTTTGTGTTTAATACTAATTTTTTAGTCATTAATAATAATATGCAATTTTATTTAAATAAAAATTTTTTATAAAAAATGTAAAAATTATAGCTATATTTTTTATTAATTAATTAATACTTAGTATGTACTTCTTTTATATTAATACATACTTTAATTTGATTTGGTATACCATTGATTTAACTATTATAGTATTATTAAGATCATCTTATTCCTCTTTAATTATGCTATAAAATTTCAATTGAAATATTCTTTTGTGTTATTATTTTTTTAATTTTTTTCTTAATATTTTTTATAAAATAGTTTAAACATTTTTAATTAGATTAAAATCCAGACTATATAAAGGTCAAAAAATAATTCAATTAGAAAGTAAGTTTTTAAGTTTTTTTAAATAATATAAGAAGTATATTTCAGGTGATTATTTACTAAACAATTCAATAATAATCTAATAATTCATTTGTATTATTATATAGATGAAGAACACATCAAATTAATAAAGATATTACAGATAAATAAAGATATGATATCTTTATCACCATTATTTTTACATAGACTATAATATATAATAAAGTAAATTAAAAAAATTATATATAAAATGATTTTTTTTATAACAAATTTTTTAGATTAGACTTTTTTAATATAATAAAGATTTTTTGCAAAAGAATTTTATTATAAAGATAATTTAACATTATTTTATATAAAATTATTTTTCAAATTTAGCAATATTATATATTTTAATTAAAAGAATAAATATTTATACTAAATATTTAAATATAAAAGTTATAGAATATTTATTATCTTTAAATATTTTTTTAATAAATTAAAAAGATATAAAAGCATCAATAATTATCTAAATAATAAATATTTAAAGCCAGAACCATATTATTAGAAATAACATTTAAGTAAATCTAATCAGCTAGTTATAGTATATTATTAGAAAATGATTAGATTACAAAAAAGCAAAAGTATTAATTAATACTAAAAACATTAATGATAATGAACAGAAAAATAAAATTTACTTAATTTCAATAATTTGCTTTATAAAATAGATTATAAAACATTTATTCTTAAAATTAAAAGAAAAATAAGAAATGAAATAATTATATATTAATAATAAAATAATTTACTTAAGATGTAATGTAATTGATCAAAAAAAAAATAACACAAAAAAATGAAGTTAGATTAGTTTATAATAATATGTATAATAAGAAATTAAAATAAGAATATCAAAAAGAGAATCAGCTATAAGTAAAGGTTATCATTATTATTTTTTCTAGATATAATTTTTATTTTTTTATTTCTCTTATTTTGGTTTATAATCTCAGAGTTTTCTTGTTTGCAATAGGTTGATTATAATAAGTGAGATAATATCAAAGTAGAAAATGTACACTTTGTATATTAGAAAATTTATAAAATAGATTGATATGAAGCATTCAATTTGGCCTCACTAGCTTAATAAGCTTGATAACAACAAATAATTAGTCAATAATATGGTTGTTCTCCTTTATAATTACAAATTACTAAATAATTATCTTCTACCTTTTCTTTATAAATTGAAAAATGAAGATGAATATATATTTTAAAATGATAATATTCCAATATATACAGCAAAAATTATAAAGATTGAAAAGAAAAAAATTTGGATAATTGGCTTCCTTGACTGGTTCAAAGTCTGAATTTAAATCTGATTGAAATCTTTAAAATATTTTAGAAAGAAAGGTCTGGATGCATAAACCTTTATCAAAAAATAAGCGAGAACTTATGACTATTTTGAGGATAAGTAGTATAAATTTGAACCTGAAAAATTGACAAGATTGATAGGTAGCATATCAAGAAGAGTTAAAGCCATAATAAAAAGTAAAGGAAACCTGATAAAATATTAAACAATAATTGGTTTTAAATAAAAAAATTTTATAGTAACTTTACTAGTAAAATTTTAGGAAATGATCGTCAAAAACTGATTATATAATATATCGTAAAATAAAATACAATAAATATTAATTAACAAACCGATTGTTTAATAATCAATCAAAAAAAATTTTTTAAACTAAATTCTATTTGTATAACGCGAGAGAAACTAGCAAATCATAAATAATTTTTTTTCTGTATTTCAACTTTGATAAAGATTTTTCTTTGAATTCAAATTTAAATAATTTTGAATTAAGAAACGAGAAATTAGATATAAATGTTTTAGTGAAACATATCAACATCAATTCATTATATAATAAGGCTGCCATAAGAGTGAAGATAACCAACCATATTATGATCATTTGAGGATTCATTTTAATTCATTTATTAAAATAATTTGCCACCAGCTTGCTCCAATAAGAATTTCCAACAGCCAATGCTCATATAAGTACTAAAAGTTCCTAAACCAGCAGATTGAGGATGCTTCTGCTTCCAACCAATGCATTAATTATGAATGATAAAATAAAAGGCGCAACCACTAGACCAGTTAGTCCAGTTATCCATGGAATTCGTGACAATTGCATTTTTTTTTTATTTTTCATGTGATTGTATATGTTATTTCTTAAATGTTTAACTAAATAGAAAATTTCTTAGTAAACACAGGTTGTATGAGACATGGTCATTGGGGTGTGTGATATAAGAGCTTTTAATCTGTTCCGCAACTGTATTTTATAGGTTATAATTATCACGTGAGATAATCGACAATCTCAACTTCGTGACATTTTTAATTTCCTCTTTGAGAGAATAATAGCAATTTTCGTATCTCGTAGCACATAGATGTCGTGTTTTTATTAGATATCCTAGAGAGAAATATTGTATATAGCAAAATAAATGCTTTAATGATAAATTTGCGAAATTGCATGTTATTTGTGGTAATTGCAATGCGTTTCTTTATAACTATAAAGTCCTAACTTATTTTTTTTTTTCCAGCCAGAATTTCTACCTAAATATTTATGTTATAAAGCATTCCAAGACCAGTTCAATTCATAATTAAAATACCCGATCAGTTCATGGAAAACTGAAGGAGATACACGGAGGACTAATTATGTGGGGTCCTGCCCGACGTACTTGTATGACAAAAAAAAACTTTTATTTTTCTAAATGAAAAAATTTTCCATTCACTTTCTCATCACACACAATAATTATTAACTTCTCCTAAAAAGAAAACAAACATGGTGTTAATTGTGCCTGATAAAAGATTATTTACTATCATATTATTCATCGCATTTGCAAATAACGACTTTATGCCCTCATTTAGAGAGATTTGGAGTAGTCCATGGGTAACCGCTGCAGCAATAGGACTAACTGGTCTAGTAGTTGCGGCTTTTATTTTATCAGCAATAATTAGTGCGTTGGGATTTGGTACAGAAGGTATTGCGGCAAGTTCATTTGGTTCCTGGTTTATGTCATTGTATGGAGGCATAGTTGAAAGCGGAAGTGTTACCAATGGTCGCTACTTATATTAGCGGTAGTGTTGGCAAATTATCTTGATGAAATGAAATTAAATGAACCCGAACAACAATCCTTTGAAAATTTTGTTCGAATTGAGGAAAAACCTTTCTCAAATGATCATAGTATGGTCATATTCACTCTTCTGCCAGCTTTATTATGTAATCAATTAATGTTAAAATGTTTCATTGAACATTTGTATCAATTTCACCTTTCTCTAATTCTAAATCATTTAAATTTTATTTCAATAAAAATCTTCTTCTGAAGAAGAAAAGTTGCATATTATATATGATTTGTTAATTAGCAATTTTAACGAATCTAGAGTGGAAAGTTTGTTGATAAAGGATCAAATAGTTGGATATGGTTTGGATATTAACGATTATCAAACATCAAATGTTATGTTATATATATTGGAAGAAATTTGGAGACAAATAAATGTGAAGGGAGATATCAAGTCAAAATATACAGTAAAATCAGTAAAATCCATAAAATCCATAAAATCTAGTTCATTTTTTCAATTATAATTTTTTCTATCTACCAATAACGTAGTTTTTTTTTTCTTTTTCTTTATCCTTCTGAAATCAAAATAATAAATGGTTCAGAATTACTAATTCTGCCCAAATTTTGCAAATCGACAATCGAAAAATTTTTCGGGTCCCTGTACTTCAACTATTGAACCTTATTTTTAAAAACATATATTTCCGGTTTGTAATTTACATGATTTACAGATCAAAATTTTGTGTAAATTACCATATGCAAGTAATCTCAAAACTTTTAATTTTTTGACAAAAAAAATATCAAATGTCTGAAAGTCCCTCTTCAAATTCACAAGAAATTAACAATGATAGAGATTTATTATCAAATAATAGAGTCATTAATGAAAGGGATTCTTCAAAAACACAGAGAGAAAGTGATGCAAATACTATGCTAAATGAAGAAAGTCCAACTGCAACTTTAGGTGGAGACATCAATGCTTCCACTTTAGAGCTTTCAGATATTACTATACATGTTTGTTCAAATTGTGGAGATCCTGCACAATACTTATGTATGGCTTGCGGACAGTCGGGACCTCGTTATTGTTCTCCAAAATGTCAAACTGAAAATTGGACCAAAGGTCATTCCTCAGTATGTAAAGCTGCACATGCTGGTCAGCTTTCTAATGTAGAAAGTGGTGAAGGAAGCGTTACTGTAAGTAGATCTAATAGTAAGGTTTATGCACGTGGACAAATTGCACAAATTATCAATAAAAAAGGTAATATGATAATTCAATTCAAAATGTTGATTTGTTTTGCCTTATTTAACCTTTCCTTCAACCATTCAAGGAGGAAATTCAACTTTATCATCACCCGCGAGAGTAGTAAGCAATAATTTCTTTACTTTATTATTCTCATTTTCATTTTCATATAGTTTCAACAATATCCTCATTTTTAGCCATCATTTACGAACGAGAGACCTTCGTCTACAAATCAAGCTAGTTCGTTTGATGAAAACCAAGTAGATGAATTTAGATTCTACATGCAACAAGTTTATAGAATTATTAAACCTGTAGTTGTGTGTATTTTATTATCTGTATTTTGGGTTAAACTATCAATCCTTGCTCCAGAATTTCGGTATGATATGTTATTATATCAAAAATTAACATTGGATTTCGCCTCTAAACTAATAGTTTTTAATGATAAATTTAGACCAAAACACGCAACTCAACAATTTGTTGATACTTCAGAAAATACACCCGAATCCACTTATTTTCTTAATTCTTTCTTGGTTGCAGCAATTATAATAGGACAAATTATTGTTGTTACAATAATTATAGTTTGTTTATTTAAACATGGGTACACTAAAGTTAGTACTATGATTCTAGTTATTTTATGATTTGATACCCATGGATTAACCAGTATTACAGATCCTTATAGGTTTCTTTATGGTTGTGGTACTTCTACTTCTTGGATTCATGGGAAACCTTTTAATGATGTAGGTGTTATATATTCTAATTAAATCGATTTGTTGTCCTTTTTTTTTTTTTTTAAAAAAAAAAACTTTGTTTATTAGGAGCATCTTAGAGGTGTTTCAAATTCCAATGGATTATATTACGCTTATTTTTGCATTGTGGAACTTTGCTGCAGTAGGACTTATTTCTGTTTTTTGGAAAGGACCTCTGTTATTGCAACAAATGTATTTGACTATTATGTCAAGTTTGATGGTATGAATGATTTATTATATTTGGGATCTCTTATTGCAGAGCTATATATAATTTTTCCTTGATGATTTTTAGGCATTTTCTCTAACAGGTTTATCATCATGGACCACATGGATTTTATTGGCGTTATTAGCTATTTGGGGTACGTAAGGTAATAAACATCTTATTATTTAAATAATTAATTCCTTAATTTTTAAAATTTGCATCAAAAAAGATTTGATTGCCGTGCTTTGTCCTTTTGGTCCTCTACGCATTTTGGTTGAAAGCTCACGTGATGATCAGAGGGAGATACCGGCATTATTATATTCTGGTAATAATCAATTTTAATATATATAAATGCATTTTTTTTTTTTATGTTTATTGTTGCTAAAATTTTAAAAAACGAATTAATTTTTTTCATTTAAAAAGTAAATGCTGTATGGTTGATGGCATCACCGGGACTTTCTAACCAATTTACATCATTTAATTCGTTAAGATCATCATCATCATCTTTTCAGGGAAGGGATCTTAGCACTCATACTGGCGAAGAAATTCCATTATCAGAAAACATAAAATATAATCGTGATAATCGAAATGTTCATGGTGAAGGTGAAGTTGAGGGAGTATTTGTCAATGTTAACGATACGAATGAGAACTCGAGAAGACAGTCTCTTCCGGATCAACCACCGCAACCGAATGATGATTCATTGGACGATGATGAAGGTTTGATTTGTTATAACTATTTTAAACTAATTAAGATCAATTATTAACTACAACTTTTATTGTTAAATTAGAGGAAAAAAGTGGATTGAAATTAGGATTAGGTGATTTTGTATTTTATAGTGTCCTTGTAGCCCAAGCTGGTAAGTTATGTTAAGAATTCATTAAAAATAATTTATAATAATCATGATATTTTAACAAATAACTAACGATTTATTATAATGCAGCCTTGTTTGATTGGATAACAACTGTAGCTTGTATAGTCGCCGTTCTAACGGTAATGATTTATTTTCCACTTTTGTATCGATCTTTTTTTAGAGGATAAATCAGTAATTCATTTTTATATATTTATATCTTATTTAGGGACTTAATACGACTATATTTCTTCTTGCTATTTATAAGAAAGCGCTTCCTGCATTACCAATTTCAATTGCTTTCGGGATGTTATTTTATTTTGTTACACGTTATACTTTAGTTCCATATGCACAGTTTCTTGGATTATTTTTAATTGCCGTTTGAAGTTAATTTAATTTGATTTAGAAATTTATTTATATATAGATCGGTAGAGTGTTTTAATTAAGCCATTATTAATTTAATTAGTCTAAAGTAAGATTTGTTGTATTATAGAAAAAAAGTTGTACATTATTGCATACATTTTCACTTTTTTTAATACACATCCTTAGTTAAGAATCTAATGATTCTGATTGCACAAGATTTGGCTCTGTTTCTATACTTGAACCTAAAGGTTCCACGCGATTTGTCTCTGACATTTCTTGCAATTTTTCAATTTTATCCAAACCGAGTTTTTGCTTTCCGCCTTGAGCGGTACCACTTAAAGTATCTTTAATTTTATCCAATCTTCTTTTAAGCTCTAAATCATCAATTATTCCACCACCCTCCTGATAATCAATTTGCATATCTTCAAGGGTTGTTGTAAAAGGTTGTCTTACGTCATTATACATATCGGCAATCTTTGTATCCAAATTATTTAGAGTAACAAAATCAGAGGAATTATAGTATAATGTTAATAGATTTATTCTTCTTTCCCTCCGTTTTTCTGATTCACGTTTATGATAATTTATAAGAGCATTTTCTCTTTTCCTTGCGCGATATTCAGGAGTACAAAATTCATTTTGGTCAGAAGACAAAGATAAAATTTTAATTGTTTCATGAATTTTATTTAATTTATCTCGTCTTTCTTGTTTTATTTTGTCATGCCATTCTTCTTTTCTCCGTCTTAATTCTAATTCCTCTTCATTCTTTGGAATGGCTAAATCAAATTCTTTAATGGATTCCTCTTTATATTGTTGAACATTTTCTTCTTTCTTTGGAATGGTCAAGTCAAATTCTTTAATTGATGTCGTTTGTTCTGTTGTTGGATTTTCTGTTCCTTGTGTTTGTGCTGTCTTATCTTTTAGTTTTGCTGCTAATTTCGCTTTTTTTTTGTTTGATTTTTTCGGTGGAGGAGGAGGAGAAAATTTTTTTACATCATAACCTTGTTTACCAGGAATAAATGTTGATGATTTTTTATTAGTATTATGAGAATATAAAGTACTTTCATGACGTAAAAATAAATTAATTATAGTAAGTGAATTTCTTTTTGATGCGAGTTGAGAAAACATTTTTATATATATAATATATATAAAAAAGAGATTGATTATTATAAAATCGAAAAAAGCATTTAATATCAAATGATTTTCATATAACTGGCCCAAATTTAAAATGAATGAATCAAATCACGTACATGTAATTTTATTGGTCGAAATTTTATGTAATTTTGGCCATCATTATAATAATTTAATGCCGGCCCGAATTATTGCAATTAATTATAATCGGAAAATTTTTTGATTTGAATAAATTAAATTTTCTAGCAAATAACCATTTTTTTTTCTCATTTAGATTTGAAATCAATTATATTTTTAAAATGTTACATAAAATAATAAGATATAGCAAATTAGCAAGATACCTAGAAAAAGAACGTTATTTATTTTAGGATTAAGTTATTGTTGTTGAAGAAGAATGAATAAAAGACAAAATTATTAAAGAATATTCAAAAGATAAGATCATTGAAAAATTGATAAAGAATAAAATTTCTGATAATGAAATAGAAAATGTAATTATTGAAGATTAATTAGAAAAAGATTTTAAAATATTTAAAGAAATAGAAAAGGAATTTATAACTGAAATTCTTTATTAATATAAGGATTTACAAGCAGTATTAGAATGATATATATTGGAAATTTAAGAACAATATTATAAGAAAAGAAAAGAAAATAATAGAATTAAAAGAATATGCTAAAGGAATAAAAAGACTAATACTTTTTTCAAATCAGCTTTTAGAAATATTAAATTATTAAAGCTAATGTTAATCAATATAAAAATAGATTTAAATATACATTTAAAAAGTTTAATCAATTATATTAAATAGAAAAAACTAAAAAGAAAATCAAGATATATTTACTAATAATTATATATATCTTTTAAATATATGTCAATTTATATAAAAATGATTACTAGTAATCAAATTGCTTAGATTATATAAAATAAAAGAAATTACATGACTCAATGCATTAGAAAATAGGAAAATCATTATATATAAACTAGTAAACTTTTTATATATCTTCAAAGAAAGTATATGAAAATTGAAAATCTATTAAATAATAAAGATTTTATTAAAGGATGTCAAATATAATTATAATAATAGATATTAAGAATATATTTACTTTAAAATTTAATAATATATATTAAAGAAACATTATTTTTAAATTAACAAAAAATATTAAAAAAGATACTATTTTTAAGAAGATATATCAAAATTATATATATTTATAGGATATAGATATTGTTACATGAAAGAAGACATAGATAATGATAATCTAAAGGATAATGTCAATCCCTAGAAAATTATATATATCTTCTATGTCATCTATATCATCTATAGCATATATTTCTTTTATACAATATATTTCTTTTATTTATTTTATTTTATTTATCTCATATATTTATTATATTTTATTTATTTTATATATTTTATTTATTATATTTATTTCTTTTATATCTTCGATAACTTTATATTTTTTATTTTATATAAATAGAAGACAGTTTTTTTTAGCTTAATGATATGTCTGACTCATAGTTTATATAATAGTTTAGTTTAATTCCTCTAATATAATTATATAGTACAGAGTACTGACTGAGATAGTACTTCATTATTATAGTTATTAAATAAACTGTTAATTTACTGACACTTTTCTAATTTAAATATTAAATTAAACCTGCTTATGACCCATAAATATTGCTTCACTTATTACTCATAAGCCTTTTAAAGAACTGACTGTAACAATATGATGAAAAAAAGAAAGGTATTTATTATAATAAATATGAAAGGTTAGATGTAATAAAATATAAAAATAATAGTTAAAAAGAATGTTTATTTATAAAAAAATGTAAGAAGAAATTTAATAATAATATGTTAGATGTTGTATTAGAACCTAAACTTAACTTTAAAAAAAAATCTTATTTAAGTGATATATATTAAATGTTATTTTAATGCTAATAATGAATAACAGAAAATTTAAATTAGAAAAAAAGAGAATATTTAAATATTTAGAATATTTTATAATAGTTTCTGATTTTTTTGTTTATGTTATAGACTATTACAACTATTTGATAAGTAATTATAAAAAAATTCACATATTAAAAATAAGAATATTTTTATTTTTTTGTTTAATACAAGTAGATTTCAGAACATATTATAGAATAAGTTTGGTTAATTTCTTTTATGATAATAAAGAAAAAATTTTAAATATTAAACTAATTTACTTTATTTTTATAATATAGCTTATATAAAAGTAATACTAATATTTGAAGTATTACATTTTAAATGCATTAATATTTTTATTTTAATTCATCAACTAACTATAAAGTTATATCAAAAGATTGTAAGATAATATTGTACAAAGATTAAAAAGCTTAAATAGCTCTTTAATAATAGATTATAAAAATTATTAGATAGACATTAAAGAGAATATGATATAAAATACTATTTTGGCTATAAAGAAAGCACTCAATCCTAAATTTTAGTATACCAATATAGAAATAAAATAAGTTTTACAGAATCTTTATTGTTATTAAAGAGATATATATATTATTTCAATAAATCCTTTAAAATTGAAGGCAAATAAATAGAGAACTAATATAAACACCAGAAAGAAAGATATAAGTATTAGTTTTAATTGATATAAAATTTATATTTTAATTATATTTGTAATAATACTATTTATTTATAAGAAGAAAGAAAAATACTAAAAAGTGTTTTATCATATAGTAAAAATAAAAGATTAGATATTTATAGATCTACAATCTCTGATATTATGGAATAATTAGATTGAAGATTTATAAAAGGTTATTAGCGATTTAGATTATCATTCAAATGAAATCTCTGAATCAGATATAGAGAAAGTACAAGAAGAAAAGGATAGAAATATTTATCTATTACAAAAGACTATATATTTCATGTGTATAATAAGCAATAGAGATCTATAGAGTAAGTTAAATATGTAAATCAAAGTTTTTCTTGATTAATTTACTTCTTCTTTACATTTTATTAATTAAAATTTATTATAGGTTTAAAAACTTTTGTAATATGCTGATTCAATAAAAAATAGTATTTAGAATATAAAAGTTACAAGAAAAAAATGATATGATGATTAATAATATGTAGAAAATAATTCTAAATCATCTTATAATATATCAGAATAGGTTATTTTAAATTCATAATTTTTGAATAAATAGTTATATTCAAAATTTTATATTTATTAATAAAGCGAGCAATTGATTTGTATTATATAATTGAAATTTGTACTATATAGAATTTTTGCAATAAAAAAGGGAAAATAGCTGAAAAAAATCAATTTTATATTTATATGCTAAATATGATTTTTAGGTCAAAATATATTCAGATTTAACATTAACTTAACTTTTATTTTTTCCAGCTATTTCCTCTTTTTCTATTGTAAAGGTTCCATATTTTTAAGACATTACACTATAATATTTAATCATTTATATTATCAGAATTCAGAAAAATTTTTATTTATCAATATTTATTTAATATTAAATTAATGCTTAATTGTAAACATATAAATTTCATATAAATATCAAAATCATATTATATATCTATTGTTAAATATACTAGAAATATCAAAAAAATAAATATTAATATTGATATATTGATAGGATATTATATATCAAAAAATATTAATATTTTGATTTGCTTACTAATATTCATATTAATTCATCTAGTATAACTTAACTGGAATTTATACTAAAGGTCTCCAATCTGCACTAAGAATCAGTTTAGATTTGTATATGCATATCAAACCTAATTTAGAATGAAATTAGTATTAGTTAATATCAATATTAGGTTATAAATCTTACCTGATTTTTCTTTTTTTGAGCTGTGATAGGTAGTTAGATATTTATGATTACTATTGTAAATTCATTAAATAAAATATGAAATATTAATAAATCATTTAAATAATAAAAAAATAAATAAACGTTTATTAAATTTGTTAAAATATAAATTAATATCAAAATTTATAAAAATAGTAAATTGTTTTATAATTTTATTAAAAAACTTGTGAAATTAAAGTTTAAATAATAATTAGAATTTCAAAGGTTTTAATTTTAATTAAAAATTAAATTTTGCTTGGAATTAAAATCAAATTAATAAGTTAATAATTTTTTAAATTTAATTTTTAGATACCGGGGGATATAAATATCCCCCTAAATCCACGTGGGCGTGATATTTAATGGTGACGAATAAATACAAATTTCTAAGTTCCTGGAATAAAATAGTAAAAATGAAAAGTGGGGGGTGTGACACTATGTGATAAATTGGGTAGGATATGCATATCCCCCGATACCAACCTAATATTTTCATAAATTAATTTGAATAATTAGATAATTAAATTTTATCCCCTGAATGACATCATTTACGTGATTATGCAAAATAACTTACACCTACTGGCGATCAAAATTCATATGTATTAGTTATATCCTGGGTGGTTGGGGATAATTTCACTTATGCATTGTCCCTGTTGAGCTTTCACTGGTCTAATATTTCCCTGAGAACCACGAGAGGAACACGGAGGAATTACGACATGGCATAAATCATAATCACGTAAATGACGGGGGATAAACAGTTATACCCTGGGTTAGGGGATAAATAGCTTATTTTTTGATAAAACCAAAAATGATCAGCCGTTAGCTGATCATTTATGGAATTCTAGTAAAATTACGCTTATCCCCAATCACCCAGGATACATATTCATATTATAGTTAGTTTATTAAACAATATTCTTTATCTTAGAAGAATTTGAAAACATCGAATAAAAATTTAAATACTAATGCATTGTTTCCAAGTACGATTTCAATGGGATATATGTAAAGATTTATTAAATAAACATTTATTTACTAAAATCATTTATGAAATCGTAATTACCAAATTTTGTCAGAGAGTAATTTGATGTTTTTTCTCTCTAGGTTTAATTCGCTAATGAACCGTGTAACATTCTTAATTTCGTTGTGGTGTGTCATTCGTTATATATGTATATTAATTGATTCCCTGCATTAGAGATACAGTATCTAATACTGCAAATTGACAAGTTTTTTAATGTCTTCTGTTATAATTCTTATATTTGTTTATTTTTTTATATAAACAAAAAAAATTTATTTATTATATAAAATTTTTTTTTACATTTAACCTCACTTGCTTAAAAAGGACCTTGAATATTAAATTATAAATAAATAAAAAAACTATTTTTGCTTTAAAAAAAAAAAAGTTGTAAAAAGGAAATAAATAGATTAGAAACAAGAATAATCTAGGGGCGTTTATTTATAAAATCGACAAACAAACCATATGAGGATTTTTAACAAACCTGTTTAGGTTGTGTCATATCATATGTAATTTGGAATTACTATAGTTGGTGATGAAAACGAGAAACAAATAATGCTGAGAAAGAGATTGGTAAAATAAGTTGACAAAATGATTTATAAGCATTGAAGGCGCAGTAATGAAAAAAACCACACTAGCTAATTACACGAAACGTTTTAAATGTGATCACAATATTAAGTTGAATGAAGGCACAACATTTGGAAGAGTATAAACTATAATAAGCCTAGTTATCTGTTTTTATTATTTACAGTGAAGCTAGCTTTTTGTGGAAATGATCATAATTATTTTTAGATCATTCATTTAATTTTAAAACGAAATGAAAACAAAAATCTCTCTCTCTCTTTTTAAAAGAAATTCTTTCTTTTTTTTTTTTTTTCCTTCTCTTTAATTTTCTGCGTATTTTTTTGTTTTAGGTATTTTTTTATTTTCCGCAGAAAAATTTATTATAACATTCTCTGTCTTACATAATTTTATATTTTTTTTTTTTCTAAAAAAAAAAACAAAAAAAAAAAACTACCATAGAAAAAAAAGGTGGTTCTAGAAAGAATTTTCCATGTGTGAATATTGTCCTTTTAAAATTTCTTTTTTCCTAATTTTTTTAGTTTTAATTTAAATCAATTTTGTTTAATCAAATTATAAATAGAAAAAAATTTTCCCTTAAAAAAAAAAAAAATCGCATCATCCGCGGCTTTACTAATTCTCCCTTTCTTTTTGCCTAAACTCAAAAAAAAAACTTTGTATCACCAACGTTATATGCCAAGGGATATATGACTTCATTGTATATAGTTTAATCATCACTATAAAAGAAAATTTTGAAAATTTTCTTTTTTTATTGAGGGGGGAAATTTAATAATATATTTTTTTTCTATTTAAATATACTTTTACATATAATACATAAAACTTTTTAAATTAATTTTTCTTTGTTTTCTCTCTTTGTTTTCCCCTGCACGCAATATTTTTTCTTGTGCATAGAAATTTTTTTTATTTTTGAAAACTTTATTCCTTTTTTGTAAAATTATATTTAAACATGTCACCACCAAACAATGACCTCACAGATATTTCTTCTTCACAACACGATGATGAATTAACGACTCAACTTCCACAGGGGCAACAAAAAGATTTTTCATTACAAGAAATACGCCAAGACGTGATCGCCTCGATGCCACCAAGATCATCTACATGGCCAGATTCAATTCAGGATACATCCTCACATACAAATAATAACACTACCTCACGTTGTAATACATTGGATAATTCATCGCATTATAGATCAATTAGCCATCATTTAAGTCAATCTGTAAAGAGGTTAAGCGTTTTGATACCAGGCGGATGTAATCAAGACAATGCTGGACGTGAAATACCCGTTAATCCGATTAATCAAGACCTTTTAATAGATCCACAAACCAAGAAACCTTTCATTAATAACTCTATCACGACTTCACGTTATAAAATTTATAACTTTTTACCAAAACAAATTATGTATCAATTTTCAAAAATAGCAAATATTTATTTTTTATTTGTGGCGGCATTACAATCCGTACCTGAATTTTCTCCTACAGGACGTTATACTACTATAATACCTCTTAGTGTATTTATGTCGATCGCGATTGCTCATGAAGGTTTTGATGATTATCGTAGACATAAACAAGATCAAGTAGAAAATAATAATGATTGTAATTCATTAAATGTTTATAAATCAAATGATTCTACTACTCAACGTCTTGGTGTTTGGAGAAAAACTAAGTGGAGAAACTTGAAAGTTGGTGATATAGTTTCTGTTAAAGCTCAAGAGTGGATACCCGCAGATTTACTTTTACTTCATTCTAATGGTGAAGAGGGTACTTGTTATATTGAAACCGCTGCTTTGGACGGCGAAACCAATTTAAAACAGCGTCAGGCTTTAAAAGAAACAAATTCTGTCACATCTTCTCTTGAAGCCCTCGCCGCTTTTCAAGGTAAATAAATGTGTACTTCAATACATAATTGTATATATAATTATATTACCTAAAAAAAAAAGGACAGTCTTAACGTGTTTTTTTTTTTCTCTTGTAGCAACTGTGAATACAGAAAATCCAAATCAGGATTTGTATAATTTTGATGGATCAATTACATTATCAGATGGAAAAACATATTCACTTTCAAATAATCAAATCCTATTACGTGGAACAATTCTTCGTAATACACCGGAAATTTATGGATTAGTCATATTTACAGGAGAAGAGACAAAACTACGCATGAATGCATCAAAAAATATTCGCACAAAAGCTCCAAGTATACAAAAATTGATGAATAAAATTGTTATCATTATTTTTTGTTTTGTAATCTTCTTAGCAACGACAAGTACAATAATGTCAGTATTATGGGCTAAAAATCATGAATTCGATGAAATTTACCTAAAAGGGTTTAATAAAATCCAAAATGTTTTAGCAGGTTTCATCATCCTATTTAATACAATGATTCCGATTTCACTTTATGTGACTATGGAGATTGTTAAGTTGGCTCAAGCTTACTTTATTAATAATGATTTAGAAATGTATCATCAGGAAACTGATACACCTGCTGAGGCAAGAACATCTACAATAAATGAAGAGTTGGGTCAAGTTAGTTATTTGTTCTCGGATAAAACTGGTACTTTAACAGATAACATCATGTTATTTAGAAAAATAAGTGTTGGTGGGAGAGCATTCATACATGATTTAGATTTAAGGAGAATTGAAGAAGAAGAATTATTAAAAATGATGAAACAATCTCGAAGAAGTGCTACGAATCAAAGACGTAAAAGATTTTCCGTCACTTCAATAAGATGGAATAATCGTTCCCAATCACGTGATGAATCAAACGACGGGGATGAATTCGAACAACAACTTAAGCGTAATGATTCAACGCGAAGCGGAAAATTTTCAATGATAGCACCAAATTCAACCGGACCATCTCCGCTATACAAGCGTGATTCATATTCGGGAGCTTCTATGAAATCCGTTAAAAAAACAGGTCAACAGATAAAATCAACTTTGGATTTATTAACAATCTTACAGCATCAAAATAATACGCCATTTTGTGAGAAAGCGAGATTTTTTTTATTGGCAATTGCATTATGTCATACCTGTGTTCCTGAAATAGATGAATCGACGCAAGACGTGTTTTATCAAGCCGCATCACCTGACGAATTTGCTCTCGTTACCGCAGCGAAGGAGCTGGGATATATTGTGACGGATCGTTCAATGTCTTTGGTCTCTTTAAGGGTTAATAATGATGGACCTGATGGATTAAAAGCCCCTAACGATTCTACGGCGACGTATGACACATTCAAGATTTTAAATGTTATTGAATTTTCAAGTAAACGAAAAAGGATGTCTATAGTGTATCGTTTACCCGATGGACGAATATGTTTACTTTGTAAGGGGGCTGATTCAATTATACTAGAAAGGTTAAGAAATCCTGTTAAGAGGTCACGAAAAGGAAAGGGAGCCCTTGATAAGAAGGGGAAGATCGATGAAAACAATAAAGAAAATCAATCCGAAAAAACACCATCACATAAACTTCGAGTCGATACTACAAATATTGTTAAAGAAAATTCAAGCGATCAATCTGGGTCATCACTTCTATCATCAAATCCAAATACGCCAGTTACACCTTTAACAGCAAATGAATTTCTTACATCACCAATTTCCATAAAGAACGCACATGAACGTAGTTTCAGCATAAGGACCGTAGATTCGGATCGTTCAATGGTTGATTTGTTTCCAATGCGTGATGATACATGGTTGTATAGTCAAACAATGTATCATATTCAAGATTTTGCAACTGAAGGACTTCGTACATTACTTTACGGTCATAGATTTATGGAAGAAGAAGAATATACAATGTGGAATAAATTGTATCAAGAAGCGTCAACTTCACTTGTTGATAGGCAACAAAAATTGGAAGACGTAGCGGAATTGATTGAGCGTGATCTAGAAATCACAGGAGCAACGGCGATTGAAGATAAATTACAAGATGGAGTACCAGAAACAATTGATAACTTACGTAGAGCTGGTATAAGGGTTTGGATGTTGACAGGAGATAAAAGGGAGACCGCCATCAATATCGGATATTCATGTTCATTAATTAAAGATTATTCAACGACGATTATTATCGATTCAAATGTTGAAGATCTGAAATTGATGATGAAAAGGGCATTAAAAGATGTAAAGAATGGCAAAGCTACACATCCAGTCGCGGTCGTGGATGGATCAACGCTCATGAAGATTGAACAAAATCCGGATATCATGGAAATATTTGTCGACTTGGGAATATTATGTGAGGCTGTAATATGTTGTAGAGTGAGCCCATCACAAAAAGCGCTCGTAGTCAGAAACATAAGGGGTAAATTGACGAATCACGTGACATTAGCGATCGGAGATGGGGCAAACGACATCGCTATGATACAAGAAGCACATGTTGGGATTGGAATAACGGGACGCGAGGGATTACAAGCAGCACGTTCCAGTGATTATTCAATAGCACAATTTAGATTTTTAAGTAATCTGTTATTCGTACATGGTAGATGGTCATATGTTAGAGTATCAAAATTTGTTTTAGGAACATTTTATAAATGCATGTGTTTTTATCTAACGCAAGGTTTATTTCAAATATTTACTGGATTTTCTGGAACAAGTTTATATGAACAATGGACTTTATCATTTTATAACACATTATTTTCCTCATTACCTGTGATCGTTATTGGAATGTTTGAAAAAGATTTAAATATGAAAACATTGCTTGGCGTGCCTGAACTATACCGATTAGGTCAACGTGATGGTGCGTTTAATTTAAAATTATTCTTTTCATGGATGGGAGCTGGAATATTTAATGCTATCGTCGTGATAGCGATACCGTTTATTATACATGGGTATTGGGAAGGGGAAGAATTGAGAGCATTTGGTTCCCCACAATTATATGAATTAGGAATGATTGTATATAGTTGTATAGTTTTCGTTGTTACAATTAAAATTGCTTACTTGGAATGTCATAACTGGTCATGGTTGACCCATGTTACTTCAATATTAACGTTAATTGGATGGTACACTTATCAAACCATTTATTCGTTCTTATATCCAAAGGTTTCTAGTGAGGTTTATGATGTTAACGGTACTTTTCAAAGGGTTGGCACTAAGTCGGAATATTGGGTTACTGTTATGTTGACCGTTTCTATAGCTTTATTACCTAATTTATTGGTTAAATTGGTTAAAAGTATCATCTTACCTACTGATGTTGATATCTATCAAGAAATTGAAAAGGATGAACAATTTTTAGACAATTTAATTGAAGGGGGAAATAAGAATACGAATGATGATAGTAGTGTTGAAGGTGGTTTTAAAAGACAAGGTGTTAAAAAGGGAGAGAATAACAAAGAGAGAGATAATATTAAGAGGAATTCATCGGATCTAGTAGAAAAAAATATAGATACGTTGATAATATCAGAAATCCCTCCAACTCCAGCCAATTTTCTCCAAGATGGTAATTATTCTCCGACAGGTACTGCTTTTAGTAACGCGACCACTTTATTAAGATCCATAAATTCTGTTGATGACTTCACCTTCCCAAAACGAAGAAATGAAATTCCTCCTCCTTCTTATCAACAATATCATGATGAAAATGAAAATGATAGTGGTAACGGCAATGTAAATCATAATAACATTATTTCACAACCTAGCATTGAAAGTTTTGGTAACTCGAGTAATATGGGAACCCTAATTGAAGAAACTGAAGATGACTCATAAATTAAAAAGCATTTCTACATATATATATATAGAATATAACTTTTTTTTTTTCAATTCGTTTTTAAAATTTATTTCCTTTGTAATATTTTCATTTTACCTTTTTAAAATTTATTTCCTTTGTAATTTTTTTCATTTCCTTTTTATTATTGTAATATGGGAGGGGGGTATTTGGTTGTACATTATTTAATAGATAATTAAAAAGGAGAATGGTGTAATAAAAAATAATTTTTCATTTAAAAAGTGTTGACCGAATACTTTCAATAATAACGATGCAACCGTCAATGTAATAAGTTGAATATTTAACTATTTATAACATCATTTACGTCCTCCTTTCAACTTCTTCTTCTTCTTCTTCTTCTCCGGTAGTTTCAGCCAACACAGGTTTCGGTTGGGTATTCTTGTACGCTATAAATAACAAAAGTATTTAATATATAATACTTGAATAATATAATAACCTTTTAAAATATATTTACCGTTACCAATCCATTGAGGATCATCTAATGAAAAAAAAAAATTATTATTACGTTAGTTATTGATAAATAAACATTAAAGACATATAAAAGAATATTAAAAGTTCAATTACTTTCTGATACTTTTGCGTATTTTAACAAAGCTTCTCTTGGATCCTCATCTAATTAAAATTTATAAATGGTATATAAACAAAAGATTGTACATGAAAAAAAAGAATTGCAATAATAATAAAATGACAAACCTCTAGTGGTATCTTTAATCAATTCTTTCATGATATGTTGCGTCAAACTGCTACCAATCTTGCCTCCTTTCCCTGGACCGCTAACAGGCAGGTCTAAACGTGGACATGAAAGCATTTAATTCAAAATATTAAATATTAAATATTATTTAAAAATAATGACTTACCGGGTCTGTGTGATGCAACAGGATCTTTTCGTAATTTCTCTCTCTTTCTCTTCGTTGATTTTGGTCTATCATCTCTAAATAACGCTAAAGAATGTGGTGCAATAATTGGACGATTTATTTCGTAATCATCCACAGCCCTCTTCTTTGGTACTTTAACAACACAGAGTTTGGCTCCACGAACGCTAACATTAGGATCATACAATACGTGCACTGATCCATCCGCACTTCCAGTGATAATCTAGAATAATTAAATAATAATAAATAAATGTTTGGAAAAAAATGTCTAAACCAGTTAAAAATTTATAATAATATCCTACCTGATTAATTCGTGAATGCCATAAAACTCTAACGACACTAGATTGTGAGATACCTAAGAGAAACAATTTTATTTTTCTTTAGTGTATAAATCACTAAGATAATAAGAAGAATTGAAACGTTTCTTACTTATCGTTCGCACAACATCTAATGATTCACGATCCATAATTACTAATTTGCCGTAACCTTCTCCTTTCTTTACCGCGGTACCTTTAATAATGTTAATTATTAATTAATGTTACTTACGAAAAAGAATATGAACAAAAATTTTTAGTCAAGTTACAAAAATTACCTGTAATAATCATTCGCTCATCGGGACTGAATATAACATTGGTTTCGGTATTATAAGTTGTAAGTTGATTAGCTTGCACAACAGGGCTTTTAAAATTTCGTACATCCCAAACTACAGAATATGAAAATATTTAGTTAATATGTAACTAAATTAAAAAATTTCAATCATAATTTACCTTTTACACAATCATCACCACCTCTTGTTACTAAAGTTGAATTATTACGAGACCATAAAATGGATGATGTCTCGCTATGAGGTTGATGAGCTTTATCAATAAGCTAAATTAATGCAACATGTATATAATTACTGTATTATCGAATAAAAATAATTTTTTTTAAAAAAAATATTTACTTACGTAAGAAGGACGAACATATGGTCCTTTAGCATCCCATATAAATAGATTGCCATCTTGAGCAGCTAATATTACATAAGATATAATTAGCAAATATAATTGCAAGCATTACAATTAGATAAATCAGATAAATCAGATTAAAATATAAATACCTCCAGCTATAAATCTTCCATCCGGACTATAACATGTTGCTGTTACGACACTCCTTCCACCACGCTCTTTTGACTTATGTACAAGTACATTTTTCTGCTTTCTTTTATTATCTACATCCCATATCCTATAATATAATAAATATTCATTAACATTGAATTAAAACTATTACATGATTTTTGGATCCTTAATTTTTACCTTATTGTACTGTCATGTGATGCTGTTATAAATGTTTGCCTATCATTTGGATGCCAACCGCCTGAAGTTAAAGCAGCTATATGACCACTTTTAATTGAAATATTCGGTTAATAACTATTTATTGAAATGAGAAAAAATCTATTTGCATATTACTTTGTATGCCGCATATCTCTTATGTATGGATCTCCTTTGATATACTCTTCTCTAAGGATTAAGAAAATTAAAAATGTAATTATTATAATAATAATGATGATGATAACCATCTTCATAAAACTAAAGATATTAAAACAAACACATACACTTCGAACCCATCACGGTCATAAATTTTTGCTTGTGCTGACCCTGATATAATTAAAAATTGGTCTCCACTTAAACTGTATTCCAAATGGTGAATCTAAAAAATTATAAATAACGAAATTGAATTTTTCCAAAGATGAATGAAATACATCAAAAATATTGTTCTTACTTGATGATCACCACATGGTTTTATGGTTCTAAATGGACGTAAAGAAGTATCCATCCCAGCGAAATCCCAAAATTTTACATCATAATCATAGCCACCCGTTATAAGTCTAGCTCCTGAAGGATCAAGCGCCAAAGCCGAAACGGTCTATAAAATTCAATTTAGTTAGACATCTAAGGATTTATTTCTATAATTCTTGTGATAATCTAAAACGATAATGTACTCTATAATGATCATTCAATTTGATTTCATGTGAAATAGGTAAAGTATCATACGAATCGTCTCCTTCATCCTCATTATTTTCCTCCTCTTGGCTCTCGATATCTTCACGCCCAACGCTTGAAAGTTCAATACCTTCAATTTTTGTACGTTTAGCTTGAAGTAATTGTAATTCTTGTTCAGACGATATAAACTTGTCAGCTTCCTATATTTATAACGATATAATCAATTATATGCAAAAAGAAATTAATTAAAAATGATCATTGCGTTATGATGTAACGACTACCAGTAACAAAAAGGTGATCATCAACAATTATCAAAGACCAGAAACCTCGTGTTCTTTTCTTCTTGTTTGGGAAAAGGCATCAATGGATTTGGATGATGATGGAGAATTAGACTTTTTTCCAAAAGATGATGGAAAATATTTTGATAGATCATCATCCTCCTTTCTTGGCTGATGTGTTGCAAGTATAAGATAAAAAAAAAAGATTAATGTATTGTCTATTGTACAAATAACTTGAAACTTTTTGTTATATATAGAGGTAATAACCCAGTTTAGAAGGAAAGTTTAAAGATATAATAAATAAATCTCTTACCAAAGACATTCTAACTTAATATAAATATATAAATATATATTTGATCTGTAATTAATGAAACAACTGAAACGAAAGCAAAAGACATTTGACCTCGCTTCCCAGTATACGTGAACTTTGCATAATTTGTCACGTCTTCGTAATCCTATTCGTCACTGCACATCAAACTAACCCAAATAGAACATTTCTTTTATATATTATCATTATATTATTATATATATTACAGTCAGAAAATTTATATGAAAATTCAAGGTATTTATTTATTTAAATTAATTTTATTATAAAAAATCGTATTAATAAATTTGTTACTACTAAATTCCAAAGGTAAGTTACATTTCGATTTTAAAACTAAATACCAGTTCCGATAAAATGACATTAATTAATATAGTAAATTACTTGCATAGTGGAATGCTACAAAAATGAAATATAATGGTAAGCGTGACCGAAAGAGGGAGTATTGTTTATCAAAATTATGGGAGAGTCATATAGTTAGTAATAGTAGTGATAGAAACAAATAGCAGTAGAAATTTATCGGAAATATGTGAGAGCAAAGAAATAAATTGATGCCGGGATTCGCCTAAGATGATAGCATCATATATTTCACTTTTCATTATATAAATCTGTAAAAAGTAATAAGCTTCGCCCGCATCTTTCTTTTTTCAATTATATACTTCTGACAGATATTAATTTTTAAGGAAATTTGGTACAGTATTGGTGCAATCACGTTAAGTATACGTGGATGGCTACGAGGAGGAGAGATATAAAGTGTTAGGGGTCGTAATGAAACGCCCCAGTCCATCCTTAAAAGGACCTGTTGCCGAAGCAAAGACCATACACAGTACAGGGTCTACCTCTCCGGTGTTTTTAGTACGCGTTCTTATGAATGTCAAATTTTTTTGATATATTTAATTTTAAAAGAAATCAGTATATTAATGCAACCACGTTAAGAATACGTGGATGACTACCCGGAGGAGAGATATAAAGCGCTAGGGGTCGTAATGAATCGCCCCAGTCCATCCTTAAAAGGACCTGTTGCCGAAGAAAAGACCATACACAATACAGGGTCTTCCTCCCTGATGTTAGTGAACGCTATGAAGGGAAGAAAAATCTTTCAACAAACTCTAGCGCAATGACAAATAATTGGGTAAGCTACTAAAAAAGCCAAAATTTTATTGGTCAGAATTCGAGTGTGACCTAATCAAAAGATTGTGATTAAGTCATTATCGCGAATTACTCACTACATGCACGCGTCAACGTGTTCTCAATGGTGCTTTATTTCTAATAAAGCCCATGAGTTTTTCCACATAAATTCCTACTCAAAGTGGCAA